ATGAAAATGGAACTGGGACTACGAAAGACTACAAGAAAGCATTTGAATGGTACATGAAATCAGCTGAAGGTGGAAATACCGGTGGACAAAACAATCTTGGAGTTTGTTATGAAAATGGAACTGGGACTACGAAAGACTACAAGAAAGCATTTGAATGGTACATGAAATCAGCTGAAGGTGGAAATGCCAGTGGACAAAACAATCTTGGACGTTGTTATAAAAATGGATTTGGAACTACGAAAGACAAAGAGAAAGCATCTGAATGGTACATGAAATCAGCTAAAGGTAAAAATCCAAAAGGATAAAGTAATTTTGGAAAAGAATTATTGTTATATATCTTACAAAATATACTATAAAATTAACAAATGAAAATTTATACATCCAATTAAGTATAATTAAAAGTGATGTGGAAATTATTTCTTATCCCTTTTTTTAAAAGCGTACTATTTTGAAATTAAGTCAAGATCCAAATCCAAATACAGTCATTCAGAACGATTAAACCAGCTTCGTACTTTGGTCATCTGGGTAAGCTGCTATGGAATCTGCATCTTATAGCTCACGGCAAATTACTATTACAATATTAGTAACAACAAAACACGTAATCACAGAAGTTTATTTCAACGATTTCATGCTGTTAAAATATTATTTTGGTTGACTTTAAAACCGATATAAAAAATTGATAAATTTTATATTTAAAGAATATTAAATTTTATGAAATTTAATAAAAATACTAATCCTATAAGTAATTGAGATGATATTTTTATTATTTAAAAATTTAAAGTTATACTGTATATTATATATTTATTTATGCATTTGAATACAATCATATATTTAACTTGTTACATATTTATTACTAATAAACCTAATTTTTTATTGAAGAACATTCATATATCATTACTTTTCCTCCTTCAAATTAAACTGTTGAAATCATATTTTCAATATACATATTGCATCAGAAGTTCTTCAAATATAATAAAGATCATTATTTTTAAACGCTTTTATTGCTTCAAACAATACTTTTAGTTTTGAAAAGTTCAATTATTTCTTTCAATACATTATTTAGCATATTTGGCACCACGTGCTAACCTGTTATGATCAGGATTTTGCGTTTTTAATTAGACTCTGTTCGACCGGTTTAGTTCGAGTTTTTATCACCAAATTTCACACGTACTTGAAAGACTTTCAGTTTTTAAAGTTATTAATGCAATCATTAATTACTAATTCTTATAAAATCTTACCAATTTGTCCGATAATTTGTATAAACAGGTAATTCAGAAAAAGTTGCAGTTAATATAGGTGCCAACACTCCGCAACATATGTACCCTCATTAACATTATCAAGAGTGTTTTCCACATGGCATAGTGCTGAGTTTTCCACACACCTTCTCTATAAAAGTAAATTATGAGTAAAAAAAGCTGATTAGAAAAATATAAAAATTATCATACAGTGCTCTTGATATTTTGTTTGCAAAATCCTTTATGCCCTTTTCATACCATATTTTACGTTATTTGTATGATTTTCACCAAACGATCGGAAGCTTTTTGTAATTCAAAATTTGTATCGAGCTTCATGTCCGAAATACCATTTTATTTAAAACAAATGTTTAAGTTTTAGTATTGGTATATGAATTTATTAAAATATTAAACACCTGAAATTATTCTTGACATTCTTCCGGTAAGCTTCTGATATATTCAGATTCGTCACGAATTATTCCACTTGATATAAAGTCGTCATATTCCAAATCGTAATTCTTATTTTATCTGGTTCTTTAATAAGGCTAATCGGGAAATTATAATATTGCTTTACAATGCAAAATATAATCATATATTCATACTAATTTACTAAATAATTAAACATCTCTTTATTATCTCTGAAAGATTTTAATTTTTCTATACGTGTATTTTCGTCCTTGCTAGATTCTAAGAGTTTTTAAAATCTTTTTGTTTTATTAAAAATTTTTACTTCAACAGCCTCGTTGATAATAATAGATATTTATATGGATTTTTATTTAATTAAAAACATTTGCGTAAATATTTAAACCAAATGCTCATGTGATATAAAGACGGTGTGCCTTTTCACATGATCTATTCTCGTACGTGTTACTGTAACATAATGATAATTCTATCGACCCGACAAGCTACACCAGACCCGATCCGAGGCCAGGTCACGATGACCTGTTTGAATAAAATACCCAGCTCTGACAATAGTGAAATTTTGTCCCGGTTGGTACACATCCCTCGCGATATTTAAATGATTATTTCTGATATGGTAAATGTGTAGAGATATCCAATTATAATTTGTACTACATACAGGACAATACACACCATTGCTACGTATGGCTTCAGGTCTTTCATTCCCTGAATTACAATTCGGACACTGCTTCACATTGACATTATTGATATTATTAAGAGTTGCTTAATTGATTATTTTTTAAATTACAGAATGAGTCAGTAATTACCGGGAAAAAAAAAGACACGGAATATATTTATGATACTGTAATTGTAGTACCTTGAAGATGATTATTTCGCCTATTGATAATACGTCGATTCTCCCAGTGATAATCGGTTCCACATAAAGGACAAAACACACAAGGCCAGGGAAAGTTTACGGGTAATTTATTTATTGCCTGACAATTCGGACACTGCCCAATATTGACATTATCGTTATCATCGGGATGTTCTTAATTGAATATTGTTTAAATTTTTAGTAGTTACTAAAGAAAAACAAGACATCAAATATGGGTAAACATTTTGGCTACCGTGTTCATGAGGTTCAATTTCTACAAACATGTGGTGAACTGATGTGTCGTGATTGCACGTAAGCGATCGATCAAACAATTTTTTTGAAAATTTCAATAAGATAAATTACGAACCTCCTAGCATAATATCACGTGCAGATCTTATCAGGTGATTTGTATTGGTCACTTCTCTGTTACAAAGACGACACCTAATAAAATAGAGCAAAGATACGTCAAGTTCATGTGGTAAGCCAATGTTGCCAGGCTGTACATACCAGCAATTTAGTTGAGCCAAGTTTATTGAAATATAATGTAAATCACAACTTAGTCTACAACAAAAAAGGCAAACCCAAGCTTCAGCTCTTGGGTCTTCATTTATGATTGCGCGTACCTATACAGTAACAAGTAAAGAAATCAATAATTGATTTGCAATTCAAGCAAGTAGGAATACACATTAATACTGCATCGTACTATATTATACAAGGTCGGAAGACCTGGTCCCAGGTTATTCAGGTTTACGTTATCTGCGATATGTGGACAGCCTATACAGTATACCCATTAGTACTTAAAAGATGATTTGTGGTCTTAAGACGGTAAATTATAATTACTAATATACCTCGACGTTTAATTATCGAATAGCAGATTATGATAAATATTACGATGATGGCAATTCCGATGGCAATCCAGATGATAAGCATGGTAGGAACTCCGTTTGTATTGCTACCTATTTCCGAGTCGAAATAGGTTGTCCAAACAAAATTGCTTCTTTGACTTATGTCCAAGAGATAAATGTTTGATGAATATTCATTGGTATTACTATCTTTACCTGTCAATTGTTGTAAATTTAAATAATCAATGTTCCATTGTATTTACTGTATTTTTGAGAAGGAATGTGTTTATCGCAGGTGGTAGTGACTCCAACAAAAGCGGATTTTAATCCAAAAAGAAATCAATTTACCGAATGCCATCAAAATGTATTTTCCGGTTGACGTAGCAGTGAAATCCATTAACGTGGAGGGTGGCCCTTGATTTGAGACGGTTGGAACGAAAAACTCGTAGTTATTCCGAGTATCAATTACCACTATTCCAGAAGGAATGTCTGATTGAAAGCACCCGAATATTATGACGCGACCATCGGGAACTGAAATTTTTTTCCAGAAATAATGAGTGGTTTTATGAGCAACGATAATAAGTGAATGGAATGAATAAATAAGGTACGCTGTGCTCACGTAATGTCGAAGCGGTGGGTGTGCAAAAGTATGTTGCATCGTTTGTGGTGTTCTGTGCAAAAGATACACGATCATTTAAAAAATTTCAAATAGATCCATCATCATAAACAAACGTTGCATCTCACTCACAACCATATTCCACCTTTTACTCTTCGTACTATACGTCCAAATCTGAGAAAAAGAAAATTAGTTTTTAAGGTTATCCAAGAATGATTCTTTCTCAGCGAGAACTGATAGAGAACGAGCGTCTCAACTCACCGACTTATATAGGACATAGGCATTTCTATTACTGTCAAACTCCCCACCCGAAAAAAGAATGGTTCCGTCCGATAGTATAACATTATTTCTGAGTTGAACATTTGGTGTTTTCGAAAATGTGTCCTCCCTCCAATTTAAATTCACAGTATCGAAGGTAATCACATTTCTAACATAATCGTTAATCATGTAAATAGTTCCATCACCTGATGTTAGACATTGTTGATGTGCGAGACCGCTAGAATTGTATGTCGCCAGTTCATTAACAGTCGGCGTTTTCCATGATTGATCGACGAGATCGAATTGAACCACAGCAGGTAGAGTGCCATCAGAATCTCCAAAGACATAAACGCCTTTTCCAGCTACGCACGAAGAAGCATATGACCGGGAAGGTTGATTTGGAATGAGGAGATTCACCCAGGGGACGGACGATGGGTTGGTGATATCAAAGCTCTTGGAGGTGTCAAGGTAAAAGAAATCTTTGCTAGATGAAGCATTGTAGCTCTTTCCACCTTGAAAGTAAATCTTCTTTTCGTATAATGCGGCACTGTGCCCTGCTCTTCCACCAACGGTGAATGAGCTAGTGTCGCGAATGAAGAAAAGAAAGAACAGAGAGCTTATGCCAAATAAGAAATTCATGAAAAATAATTTTAAATTAAATCTTGAGATGGAAGAGATAACATATTTAAATGATCTTTGTTTTTATCGCCGAACGTAAGCATAAGCGAATTGTTTGTTGGACTTTCAGTTGCACAAGACCCATTGCATCTCCATATCGAGAAGGAATTCGGCTCTTACTTCGCTGTGCCGATAAGGAACTCCTATATCAATGAAACCTTACCATAAATACACCGTTGATCAGCGTACTATACAAACTCCAGTCTAAATAACTATATTAAATATTGCATTAACAAATTTCTTTTCGATTTTTATATAATATGCAAAGCGATTCAAAGTGATTGTGACATCTAATGACATTTTAAGAACCGTTCTATCGTCCTTGGCGTTGACACGAGAGAAATCGCGTATTCTCATCTGACTATGTTTGTACTTTGTGCAATTTATAATTTCCCAATTGTGAATTTTTTATTTACATTATAAAAAGGTACGATATTCAATCAAACACTGTACTCTCATTTATAAACGCTTACAGAAAATACGAGACATGCTTTACATTATACAGTACGATATTCATATAATTCATTATTGAATGTGTCACAGTTAAAAGTGAAGTCCGAATAGTGTAAATGGGTCTTTAGATGTCACTCTCGGCTTCCAGGATTATCATGAAAATCTTCGTGAAGACCCGAGGTAACAAAACAAACATCTCTTGATTCAGAAATCCGACACCATTAGCCGAATATAGAAAGCAAGAAATCTACCGGAAAGAGAGAGTTCCCCATCCGCGATCTACGGTTAATTTTCTCTGATAAAAAGCTCGATGATAAGCATACTCCTTTTGACCATGAAGTTCGGAAGGATTCCACCCTTCATCTTTGTATGCAGCCACAAGTAAAGGACAAAATTCTCAAGAAAGAGAAAGTTTCCTTCAAACGGTCAACAGTTGGTCTTTAAGCTTGATGGAAAACTTACCCTATCTTATTATGATGTGCATATAAAGACATGACAAGGAAACCATCACTCTTTTAGTTAGCTCATCTGACGTTATCAATCAAGTGAGTGAAAGAAAAGATGAAAAATGCCAAATTCTTTGACTTGAACTCAATTTAAGAAAGAAAGGATGATGAGAAATAAACATGATTTTTCGTTTTTGCCGTGAATTTCAAGAACCCGAATGCAAGCGTTTGATTGCATTATGATAAATTTAATACTGAGCCTAAAGCAAGCGTGGTGCGATTGCTAAATCAAATGGTTAATTGTGTGTTGTTTTTTATCGTAAAAAAACATTTTTTAAGAGGAATACTAGCGTAACCGCTGAAATCACACATGCAAAATACTGTGGTTTTTTGGTACTGTATTGTTTACGAATTCCTGTTCAATTATGAATTCATCATGCATGCACAAAGTCTTAAGTTTAAATGAAGTACTGTTTTCGGTAGTTCAAATGGAAACCGGTATTTTGTTTGTTTGGCACATACAATAAGCATTCATCGCCTAATGTGTATTCACACAAGGTAAATCCGGGTTTGCCGGATGCATAAACAGAAAATTCGATACGTTCGATGATCGACTGTACTACTCGAATACATTCATATATTGGTAAGTATTAAAAAAATTTTTTTTTTTTTTTTTTATACTGGAAATCTCGGAATCCATAAAGAAGAATTTTTTGGAAATTAAAAACTCTCGATTGAGAAACTTCATCTAATCATATCGCATAATATGGTAGAACGGTAACGCAGTGCATTAATGCTCTATGACGGCGTGTCATGGTCACATTACTGTATACGTCAGCGGAATAATAAAATTACGTCCGATGGCATCAACGGCGTTCACGATCTGTAACATACGAATTTACGTCCGTGTGGATTTGATAATTTGGCGACAGTGTACACCATTGATAATTCAGTAGCACTAGGAATCGGGACATCCTGTGCTTTGAAAATGATCATCTGATTAGTCACTTTGTTTATTGCTACAGTACCGTACGTCTTTGTTTTGTATGTTACAACTCTACTCAATTTGTGATTATTATACTAATTCAAGAGAAATGTTTGGATTCACGATACACGCATATAGTAACCAAAGGTTACATTCCGGCGGATGATTCAACAATACGGTATTTAAGAATGGATTTCCAAAAGGTCTACTTGAATTGAAACTCCATATCCTCTTCCTTATAACCATCACACAATGTTTTCGGATAATCAAAATGGTGCGGATCTCACTGTCTCTGAGCCACTTCCATGCGATTTCCACCAGGGACAACAGAGAACCTCCACTGAGGCTCAAGGTGTCCTCCCAATAGAGGATTCTAATCAACTAACTTGGCCGCCTCCTAATTCAGAATTCTCTCCGAGATCAATCATATCACAAATTCAACATGGGTCTCCCAGAAGTAGTCTTCGGCCGTTGGCGCAACTTGGTCAATGTGAAAAATGCAAGAGTCCGATGTCCGGATACAGTTGGTGTCAATACTGCAATAGCGAACATTTTCAGATGAACTTTTCGTATTGGTCAAGTGGAAACAAGGAACTCGACAACTTTATTCAAATGGCACAACGTAGAGCGACCAATACCAGATCGATTATAGAATGGATAGAATACGATAAATTTGAAAATGTGACACACCTTGCAGATGGTGGTAATAGTTCGGTGTAGGTATTTCTTGATTGTTGGACAAGACACTGGAATTCGGCGTTATGCATATAATAAATAATTCTTTATCAATTATAGGTATACTGCAAATTGGCCTCAGGGTCCTATACAAGCGTGGAACGTAACTGCCAAGACATGGGAACGAGGATGGCAGCAAATGGAATCCAATGTAATCATTTTAAAACGCATAAAAAATTCAAATAAAGTGACATCGGATTTCTTGGGTGAGGTAAGTTACACTTTGTAATCATTATTCATTCGGTTTTTCCTTTGCCAAATACAGTAACCTACTGCATTTTTTTCCTTAGTTGAGTGCATATCACCAATTTAGCACGTTGGTCAGTCATGTTGTACGCTGTTACGGTATTACTCGTTGTCCCTCAACTCGTGAATTCATTGTCGTTACGTCCTATGCTCGCGATGGGGATCTTCGAAAATATATTGGCAAAAACTTTTCTACTCTTACTTGGCTACAAAAGATCAACACTCTCAAGGATATTGCGGGTGGATTGGTGACCATTCATAGAGCTGGGCTCGTGCACGTATGTAACATCTCGCATTCACATAAAGTATTGTGTATTGAATTTTTGTATATTCAAAGATGGAAATAACTGACTTCATTCCGACCGTTATTAACTTCAAAGAAAGATTTACACACCGGTAACATCTTGATGAACAACGGTTGGACAATGATAAGTGACCTAGGTCTTTGTTGGAGTAATTCTGCCTTTGGTGAAGACGGGAAAATCCGTGGCGTACTTCCCTACGTAGCACCCGAGGTTTTGCGCGGACGCCCATACACGCGAGCATCTGATGTTTACAGTGTTGGTATTATAATGTATGAACTGTGGTCAGGCAGACTACCGTTTGAAGGAAGGAGATATGATGGAACTCTGGCATTAGAAATTTGTTCAGGTAAATCAGTGTTATTTTTCGGCTGCCGTTACCTAAATTAAATTGATAGGTGATAGATAACCCTGTTAAATAGGTGCTCGTCCAGAAATCTCTTCAGATATACCCGACTATTATTCTTTGATCATGCAAGCCTGCTGGAACGGAGATCCCGATATGAGACCTACTTCACGTGAACTTGAAATAGCTTTCAATGGGTGGGTTGAAAAAATTGCAAAACGACAATTGGACCCTCCAAAACCGATTTCTCTCAAGGATGACGCACATTCGAAATCAGAAGATATCCATTCCATCCCTAGTTCACGTGAAAACACTACAAGTCAGCCACTTCCCTCCTTGTCTGAAATTCAACTTCTATACGTTGATGAGCTTGAAGAACGCCGTAAGTATATATAATCGTTTCCCTTGATTGCACAATATCATGAATTTTCTTTTCTTATCATCAAAATTTTTTCTCATGAAAAGGCGAAGTACGTTATCAGAATTGCCTTAACCAACGGCTCCATGAATTCAATGAACAAGATCGTAACATTGAAGGTAGTTTAAACTCACGTGTTGATTAACGGTCGTCCAATAATCATCTGGCTGCACGAACTTCAACTGAGTTTAATGTTAATTTTTTAGGATCGCTCAACCCTATGACCTGGACAAGCGAACTCAGAGTACTAGCCGATCAAATATTTGGAACTTCAGGTATGGTTACATGATCACACACTACCAAGTCTTCGATGTCATTCTAACAAATATAATTCGTATACAGTAAAGTCGATCACATTTCCTGAATACAACCCTTCAAAAGTCACAAAACGTATGTCCGCTATACTGATACTGTATTATGCTGCATCTGCGTATATTAACCTTCATTATTTCAATTCAATTTAGGCAACAGAAAGCCTTTGCACATACGGTTTTTTACAAAACTACTGATTTTACTGCATATCGGTGAATTCAAATAACTTGAACTTTGTGTGAATTATACTCAACTACCATTTTAACTAATGTAATATTATAATAGATTAATTGAAATTTTTTATTTTCTAATAATGCAGAAAACGATTAAAGACTATCATGATTTCTTCGATATTCCTTTGATCATGTACATACGTATATGCTCTGTTTCTTGTGATGTTTATTTAAACTTTGCTGTCATTCACATTATGACAGTGTATTTGTATATTTAGAATGTGTTTGCTATTTAGTAACAAGAAATTTAAATTTTACATACAAATATTCATCATGCTTATCGGTGTGAAAAATGTTGATGAAACAATCGATACAATGATAAAATATCAAATCGTGAACTGGGCTTTTTTTTTTAATGTATTGAAACTAATACAGTAAAGAGGTATGGAGCCAAAATAGAAAGATCAAGAACGCTATGTTGAAAAAACAGGTGCAGTACAGTATACTGTACTGTACTGTAAAAGGTAAATGATTTTTAAATCGGGAAATACAATTTATAAAATAAATTGTACTCAATACTTTAAATTTGATGTTAAATTGTATTATCAAAATACAAATAATAATAATAATAAATCAATCAATCAATAAATAAAAATAGGTTAAATATGATAAAAGAATATCGATAAAAAGATTAAAATATTTGTTAAAATTGATCTGAAAAAAAAATTGTTGATTTTAAAATAGTACGTATTTGTAATAGGAAATAATAGAAAAAAAAATTTCAATTCAATTTATTACTAAAGACAGAGAATATCAAATAAATAATTGATACAAATATTATTAATAATTTTCAAATTATTAACATAAAATATTTTTATATTAAAAAAAAACTTATCAAATTTATATATCTTTTATTAATATCAAAAACATTACTTTTAATTTCAATTTTATCAACAATATTGTAAATATATATAACTTAACATATAATTTTATATTAAATTTTATAATATTTTTTTAAGAAAAAATTTTTTTTTCTTAAAAAAATCTTATTCAATTATTCAATTATTCATTTTAAATAGTACTATTATTGTTGCCAATTACGTAATTGGATTTATTAATTAACAATGATATAATTATTTTACTAATAAAGATTATAAATTACATTATTAAGTATTTCAATATTTAATAAATTTTATATAATACTTATTTCAAGTTTAAATATTTTTTTATAATATTAATTTCTAGAACAATTATTACAATCTCTTAAAAAAAATTTTGAAAAAATATTATCAAAAATATTTTATTAATATACAATTTAAAAATATATTTAACTTTAATATCTTATACTAATATTCAATTTATATACTTTTACAAACTTATTAACAATATAAAATTTTTAATTAAAAAATATTATTTTATATATTAATTAATTTTAAACAAATTATTATAGTTTTAAATTAGTTATAGTATATAAAAAATAATCAAGTTTTTTACAATATTAAAATATAACATAAAATAAAAATAATTAAAAATTATATTAATTTTTATTTTTAATTATTAAAATAAAATAAAAATTTATATTGATATAATTAAAAATATCAAAAATAAATTTAATCAAATTTTTAAAATATATTATAAAACTTTATTTATGTAATTAAAAAATATAATTAATATTTATAATTTATAAAATAAAAAAAACTTTAATAATAATAATAATAAATTTATTTTATTTTTTATAAACTTAAAATTTTTATTTATTTTTTTATTTTTAATTTTTTAAAAAAAAATTTTTAATAATAAATTTACAGTGTGTTACAAAAGTCTTTGAACTAATATTTTTTAATATAATTTAATAAATAATTATTTAATTAATGTAAAACTTTAAATATATATTTTTTATAATATAATAATAAAAATATTCAAGTTTTATTTTTTTTTTTTTATTACAAACAAGCATAAAATGCAAGGCTTTATTGATTAATTAATAATTCTGTTATTACATTAAGTATCCATTTAAATTAATACTATCCTATTATATAAAAAATTTCTAAAACAATAAAAATACTACCTGAGTAAAACCATAATAAAAGTAGTTTATAAATTTATACCTATTTATAAACAGCTAAGTTATAGCTAGTGAAAATATTTTTTTTAGTAGTATAAAAGATTTTCAAAATATTTGTCTTGATTCAATAAGTATTTGATATGTCTTTATGTAATATTGTTGTTGTTGTCATTCTTAACAGATTAATACCAGCTTGGTTCTTATTTAATTAGAGTGTTTGAATTGGATTGGCCATTGAGATTGTGTAGATTGTTTGAAGGAGTTGAACTGATTTTAGTTTTTGATTTTAAGAAAATTTTTAATATCATTTGCTTCAGTACAGTAAAGTGTACTGTGTTTAAGTTGTTTAGAAGTGTTTGGTTAAGACAAGTAGAAGAACCTAAAACTTTACTTGAATGTACTTTTAAGAAAAAATTAGTAATATTAAAGATGATAAGAAGAATGATTATTATGATAATAATAAAGAAGAAGATATATAAAGACAAAATTAAGAAGGAGAACTTCCACAAGCCTTTTTCTATATAATCAAAAAATAAATAAAATTCACAAACTTGCTTGACCTTTGACCAGAGATCACATTTTGATGCAACAGCAGTCCTTAAAGTCCTTATGTTCTTGAGCTTATAGCATAATTAATATATTAAAAAGAGAAAAGAATATACTTATTTCAAGAAAATTACTATAAAAGGAAGTTTTCAAGAAATCAGTAGTGAATGGATAAGAGTTTTTTATCCTTAATATTAAAATATTCAAGTTTTATTAATAGTTAATTAATAAATTTATTATAAAATATTAGTTTAAAATAAAAAAATAATAAGTTAAAAAATCCCTACAAGCATTATTAACATAATTATTAATCTCCTCAGCAATAAAAAAGTCTCTATTAACACACCATTTGGGGCAACAGAACCCTTCATAGTAAATAATGGAGTAGAACAAGGAGAGACATTATTGCCCATCATGTGGGTAATATTTTATAACCCTCTTGTTACCAGACTGGCCAGCCACAAGCCAATTCAAAGCTATATTGCTCCTAATGCCTTGGCATACATGGACGACCTAGCTCTTATTGCAGATAATAAACAATCAATGGAAGACCTCCTCTCAACAGCCAATCAATTCTTTACAATAAACAATATCACCTGTAACAAAGACAAAACCAGAATAATCTCTAACATCAAGATCAAACAGGGTCTCAGTAATTCAATCAAGTTTGACAACCACCCAATTCAAGTTCTCAAGCCCCACGAAAGCATTAAATACTTGGGTGTACTCATCTCTCCCAGAAGCCTACTCAAGTCCAATAGAAAGGCTTTTAGTCAAACCACGGACACAATTCTAAAAGAACTCTCCAGACATAACTGGAAAGGCGAAATCAAACAACAGATATGCAACTGGGTTATCATGGGCAAATTCGAATACTTCCTATCCCTATCATACCTAAACAAATCTACTCTCAACACGCTCCAATCCAAGATCAACAAATTAATCAAATCAGCTTACAAAATTACATCCAGATGTTCAAACGCAATTCTCATTAGCCACAGTGGCCTTAATATGACCCTCCTCGAAGAAAGGCAGAGATCGTCACTGGTCGGCAACCTAATATCCAAACTGTCCATGCCAGCAACTAGAAAATATATTCTCCAAGATCTGCGTTCCATCCAAAAAAAGGAGTCAATCTGGTTCTGTCCCATCTGCAATCCAGAAAACTTTAACCAAGACAATTGGATTACATACACAGCCAAGGTTGCGAAAGACCTCAAAATCAAAATCTGCCCAAACGATTGTCCAACTCAACTTAATAATGCAGAAAACTCTATTGGCCTTCTATTTAGAAACCTGCAATCTTCTAACAAACTCACAGCAATTAATACAGCAAATGCCTTAAACATCAAATTCACCAACCAACTTTTAAAATACAATAGCACAGAAAAGCTCTCATGGCTCCAACTCATATCGCACACAGGAATAGCGCGCTGTGGGCCAGAACCCAAATGGTTCAAAGATTTCAGCAACCCAAACAATCTCCATGGAACTCATGGCCCAGTACCAAACCCCAGTCCACTATTTTGGTACTCGCATAACTCAAATTGTATCATCAAAATACACAAAAGAAGCCGAAGTATAAATGAAAGGACAAATCTCAAAGGAAAACACTATTCTGTTGGTCCAAACAACACTCTGTCCAGATGCAATGGCTGCCCAATAGGCTCACACTCGGCTGGCTTCTGCACATTGTCATTTACAAGTCCTACAGCATCCTCATTGTGGGTAATCTCGAATCCTAACAGCACAAGCAAGCACCGACTATGCAACATAATTAGCGAACTGTCCATCACGCCACAGCAAGGAGAGAACATTCTTCAATTTGTTGACAATTTT